AATAAAGAACATTTTAACATGGTTTTGGGGGTTTTATATAATGCAAAGCCAGTCATTCGCTTGGTGTGCTCTGCCCATGCTGTTACATACCCTTCAGGATTTTAGACAAGCTCGCTTGTGGTGAAATAATGTATACACACTATTAAATTGCAAACCATTATGTGGCATTATTTGTTATGTTAAGGCTGCACCTAGGCTATCATGTGTTAAAAGACAAACTGAGAAAGAAAATGACGTTTTGCAAAAATGAAAGGTAGCATTTATATCTGCAATATGCAAAGAACGTTCCAATATTTTGTATTCACATTGTAAGTATTCATGTTCCAGGGTATGTTCCTTTTTTAGGCCATGTTCATAGTAGGATTAATTGGCAATCATCACTGACCCTCATTAAAAGCCTTTTTCTGTTGCATATTATCTGATCAAAGTCTTTTTACTTTCACTCAAATGATGCATTCCACAGCATTAAATTTACCTCTTCACAGTGTTCTTCATGACATGTCTAACATTTGGTTCCTAAAGTATTCCTGCATTTAAAGTGTGGAGTTTCCTGTATAATCAGGGGATTTGGGGGAGATGTGGGGAGGGTTTCCCCACTAACTTAGATAATTAATATATGTTAAAATTATAGTGCTATATTATCATGGCTATCTTTCCTTCTAAAGGGAAAAAAAAATTATTGTTGTTGCTTTGCACTCTCCATGTTTTGGATTTTTTCTGGCTATCTTATCATGGGTTTGTAGGGTTTAAAGAAACATATCATTTCATTTCTGTTCATAAAATCTATCTACTTTTTGCTGGAAAAAAGGAGTAATATGCTACATTCTGATTTAAAACTAGGTAGTTTGTATTTTTCTCTTCAATCTTGCCCGAATTCTGTGCATTGAACAGAACTTTGCAACAAGGCATCCCTGGCTTCTTAACCTATTAGTAGTGACCAATAAATTCAAACTTCTTTGCTTTCAGGAATTTAGATTAATGTCATAAAGGGGTCACAGGATTTAGTACTTCTTTTTTTCTTCTATTTTTTTTTTTTTTTTAATTCTTTAACATGTTTTGTTTTGACCATTCATTTCAGCACTGAATTTCTTTAACTTTTCTACCTGTGAGATGTTTATACTGGGTGAGCTGAATCCTTGGTCCTCTGGAATGTTCTTTTTAAACTGTAAATATTTTTTCCAAGTTCCAAGTAATGGTTTTTCATATTATCTGGAAAGTAAACCAGAAATTAACATTAAAATTAAAATTAAATTAGTTTACTTTCTGATAATGTTTGGTAGTGTGTTCATTGCATGTAAGATTTGACAAAGTCTAAGTAAAAATGTTGCCATTTTAATACTAAAGCTCAGCCACAGGTGGAGAAGTTCTTTACTAAACACTGATTGGATTTGTTTTCAAGGAATATTTGATTTTCCTGACCTTTTTTGTCATTCTGATTTCATGTTATTTGAATTAAAATCTCATCTTTTTTTTTTTTTATAGTACCTAAAATAGACTTTATTAGTTTTCCTGAAAGCTATGTGCAGCTTTGCTTTGGCCCATTTAAATATTGAAAACAGCAGGATTTGAGATTTTTCTTATAATCCTCAACTAATAGAGTTTAATGCTTTGTTTGGCCTACCCTACACAGCCTAAGCAAAAGTTTTAAACAAGATTAAAAATATGACCTTATTAACCTACAGCATCTAAAGATACAGAACAGGCCTGCAGAGACAGCAGTCGTTCATTAGGCAGGATAGCATGGTGCTATTCCCAATCTCCTCAGTCTGTTCCAGAGGAAAACATTTTGGCTGCCCAGCTTTTTTCTTTAGTAGTTTTGGCCATCATGCTGGCACCCAGGAATAAGAAAGAAAAAAGCAAGAATCTGTTTCTAAGTTGGATATTCAGTCTTCATGGTTGGGGAAAGTAAGTTCAATTACTTGTGGAAATTTGAGGTGCAACCTGTCTGGGATTTCTCAAAAACAATTCAAGCAGAGCTAAGGGACAGCAGAGGTGCAGCTTAGCTTTTGTTTACTGTACTTCATTAGTCCCTGAATAAAATGAGTTTCACCTTTTGTTTTTTGAAGAGAAGTTACAGTAGTATCTAAGCTGTTGGATGGGTGATTGATGAACATGTTGCATTCCAGAAGAATAAAGTATCTCATTGTCATGGAAAATTTATGCTTAGTAAACATTATAATGACATGATACATTCATTGCTGTGTAATAAGATTCCTTGTTTACTGGGCATGCTATAGGGCTATGGCAACAAAACCAGAAATAGGAACTATGAGTATTCTTGTTGTAAGGATGATGATGGTTATCAAGCTGTTTGTTGCTTGCTGTAGCTCTACATCACTCCATATTCATTATCGCTTTGCAGTGCCACTAGTAGCGTGAGGATCAGTGAAGAGGTGTAAATGTGAAAGTTTGACTAAAACTTATAATAAAATTAATGTGGTTTATTGTATGGTATGGAAGAGTCAGGTAAATGTGCATTTAGCTGGTGCTTTGAGACAGTTATCTCCAAGTGTTCCAGGGGAGAGAATATAATTATAGTTTGCTTAAAAAACAAACAAAGAAAAAAACCCCACACATAAACACCCCCCCAACAGAAGACTCTCTAAACTTCTGTCTGTCTAATGATGTTCTGAAACAAAGCAAAATGACTGAATATTTTTTCTCGACTTAATGCTTTAAAAATACTGATATCTTGCTTAACTTTCAGCATATCAGTTGCCCTTTTGATCTCAATAGGGTGGAATCTGGATACATGTTCATTAAGTTCAAGACCCAGCTGAAAATTGGAGGCAAAATGAAGCTAAATTGCTTACACTGTTATTGATAAACATTTCCTGCTTTCATACCATTTATTTTTTTTAATAAAGGAACATAATTTTGTGTCTGATGTTTTTGCAATCATACGTGCACTATCTGAAAAATACAGTACTTGTACACTTACCGTAAGTCTTGGTTTGTGGAATGGAGAATTTCTTAAGACCTGGGGCAATAGAAAACATTGAAGATGGGAAGGAAGAGGGTGAAAAGGCCTCAGTATTTCCTCTCTTTTCCTGTCTTATTTATTTTCCTTAGTTCAGTGCTTTTGGCCTTTCTTGGCTCACTGCCTTGTTCCCATCACCAGTGCCAAATCCCAAAAGCAAAAAAATGGTAGCCTTCAGGAATAATGTGGTCTGTAGGTAGATCAAGAAGTCTAGGGAAACCAAGAATTTACATCTGATGATTGATCATTTAATTTTCTTTCTGCATCAGGCTTCACTGACCTTCCTCGCCCTGACCCACAGTTTTGAGAATATATGCAGTGGTCAGTGATGAGGAGCTGATGTTTAGGGATAATTGCGTTTCTGTTTGGTAGAGTTCTGCTGCTGATTCAGACATGTTCTCTACACAGCTAAGTCATCCTGAATGAGCTGATTTGATGCTGCTGTTTGCTTTCCATCTGTAAGAGCAGCACTTGCATGCAACCACGCTTTCACAACTGTAGAATGTATAGTAAGATCCTCCACGTCTGTATCTAAAAGGCAGCGTAACATGCAGCTGGCATGGTGGTGTTTTCCTTGACCCTATCTTTTACAAAAGTTGCATTAATCTTTCATTTGATAACCAAAATTCCCACCAGTCTTGGATGTCTGCATCTGCCTTATTTAATCAGTACTTTTTTTTTCTGCTGTTCTTCTGCCTTCTTGATTGGTGAATATGCTTTCAGTTTCATTTTAGTTGTTGGTTGTGAATAATTATAGAAAGGAAAAAGTGATAAAAAGCATTTGCAATATGAGTACTTAATTAACTCAGTAAAATGAGTTTTTCAAGCTTTGGTCTGTAAGCTGAAAGTGCGAGCAGTACCTTTTTAAAGGGTAAAAAAAAAACAACATACTGTTGGTAGTTTGAAGTCTCTGGGATACTGTGCTGGAAAAATGTTAGTTTTCAAAATGAAAAAAATTAATAATAGTTGGTATAAATATTCAGATAATGAAAGCATTCTGTAAAAACAGTTTCATGAAGATTAAAAGGTCACTAGACAATTTAGCTGGGGTTTTTTTTAGTAATTACATGGCTAACTTGGTTTACCTCAAAGTAGCAATTTTATGCTGCATATAACAAGAAATTAATAATTAAAAATTTTGTCATGGTGCATCACAATTAAGTTAGAGTTTGCGGGCTCAATACTAGTAAGACCTTTAGGATGCTAGTTCCTCGTTACACCAAATGTTTGTTCGTACAGTTCTTTTGATTGCACTGTTTAGCATTGAAAATAACTATTGTCAGATTTGACATAAAATACAATACAAATATAGTAGAGGCAATGTTTTACACTCTAGTTTGCTTCAGCCTGCAGTGCTTTTTAATTTGGTTGCAGTTAATCCCAAATGATAGTGCTTATATAGAGCATTCCAAGTGGTTTTCTAACCTACTCTTCAGCTTGTAGTTAAAAGGTAATTTTACATATTTGGATTGGCCCTTTATTATTTATTTTAGATTTTACATCCAAACTGTTCGTTTTACTGTCTCTGTCAGGTTGAGTTCTCCGCTCTAGCTTTTTCTGCTATGACATAATTTTTGTGTTTTAATTTTTTTGTACTTTGGGATTCTTTGGTCTCCTTTCCTTTGTTTTTACTTTTAATAACTTATCAATTTTTTCTCTATTGTTTCCAGTTCATGCTTTTCTAAATAACTTCAATGTATGTCTAGTATTTTGCATTCAAATGAATCAAAATCGGTTTGATTTTGCAGAATGTCTTAGTCCCAGTCTAAGAGTGCAGTAAGTTTTTATTTAAGCCTAATTAGATACTGATTTATGGATACAAATAGATGTTTACTGTTTAAGTAGAAAAGTTATGAGATATTTAGTCAAGTCTGTCTACAAAAATGTTCAGTAACTGAGAGCACTTTAGTCAATAGTGACAATATATTTTTGATAGAATGCTTTTCTAGTCCATGTTCTGTTTCAAAAAATATTCTGCTTTTATGGCTTATAAATTTAATAATGTATTTTTTCATTACAGGGAGAAGAAAATGAAAATTCAGGATATTAAAAACAATATTAAAGAAGCTATAGAGGTAAACTTAGGAGCTATTGCTTTTAATTATTCAAAGCTAGCTATTTAGACACTTTCTGCAATATTTTATTTTTATTTCTTTGCAGACAATAGTGACAGCAATGGGCAATTTGGCACCTCCAGTTGAACTAGCCAATCCAGAGAACCAGTTTCGAATCGACTACATCTTAAATTTAGCTAACCAGATAGACTTTGATTTCCCACCGGTAAGTAAATAATTCAAATAGGCTGCAGTCATGCTTTTTCGCAAATTGTTATGTTTCACTGCACTGTAGTAAATATTTACAAAAAACAGTGAGCTGCTCTTTGGGAATTACTACAGTAGGTGTCTTTGGTCAGTGCTAATCAAATAAAGTGTATAGCAACACAGCTAAAATATTTAGGCTGATCCTTTATGAACGCAGAGACCCTTATCTAGTTCCTTGTGCTCTACTGAAATCATCTGCAGAATGAAGAGGGACGGTGCTGGCAGTAAAGTTTGGATATTGTTGGGAATTGCCCTGCCCAAAAGGAGTGAAGATACGCACAGCAGTCTGTTGATGATTAGCTGGCATTTAGTGATACTGTATTTCTCTCTTTGGAAGAATAGTAGAGTTTTCTTGTCGATTCAGACATGTTCTCTGACAGCTGTGTCAGCCAGACTTTCTGCGAAGGCTCCACACACTACGTCCTTGCCCCAACCCTCCCAGTCCTAGTTAATCATTCAAAATGCCAGCAGTCCCAGGGTAAATGCAGAAAGTATAATTATTTGGTTGGTGGTATAACTCTGTGCCCACTCACTGTGATTAATTTTTACTGTGTCTCAACTAGGCTAGTAGCAGAAGCCCATGAAAATACAGTTTGTAAACACTGAACTTTTAAGCACTGAGAAGGTATTTTTCACTACTTGCCATGAGGTACCTTATACTTGCAGTAATATAGGAGTGTTTCAAAGCTTGTATTCTCTCTCTGTGCACTGTTCCAGAGGGCTGAGGGTAGAAATTACAATGAAGTATCAAAATCGTGATCCATTTACACCAGAATTTTGTATCCAGCAGTAGTCCATCCTAGATGCTTGAAAGTGCAAGTGCAAATAGTAGTAAGATGTGGGATAGTTTGCACCGCAGCAAGGTTTTCGTAACTCTGATTTGTAAACATTATTGAACAAGCTAGTCTGTGAAACCAATGACAGTTACCTTTTGCAACTGTTGCTGCTTCTGGGAATTTCTCTGCTTTGGTCAGCCTTTATTAAAAGAAAAAAACAAACAACCAACCAAAACCACATACTTCGTGTGCAAGACAGAAGTCAGGTGCTATTACCAATTAGTTGGAGAAACTGGCATTGTAATCTTCAAATCCAGTAATTTTCAAAGTTCAGCAGGCACAGACAGGTTGATAGAAAGGGGGATGTATGATTCCTCTCTAGCACATAAAATGTAATATTAGTAAATTTATCTTAAAGAATCTTAAATAAATCAGAGATTTTGAGATTTTTAACTTGACACCTCTTTAATTTTGACACTTGACAGTATTATTCATAGGAGTATTTGGTCCCTTCATGGATGATCTCTTCTGCTAGGGGGACAAAAAAAAATGGTGCTTTGAAGATAGTTTTAGTGGAATATTCGAGAGAAAAGACAGTGGCTCCTTACTCCACCCTGTGTGCTCTTGAACTGGCTGCGTGCCCGCAGCTCCTACTGCCCATTGTTTTGTGATAGTTCAGGTTGTGATCTGTAACAATGCTGTAACAAGTTCCTGTGACCTACCTTGTACTGAAATACTTGATTTTCCTTGTCTCTTCTATCTCAGAGGGTTTTTTTTTCTTTTCTTCTATTCAATTGGAATGCAGTTATTTTTTAAAAATTCTTTTTCTTTCCCCTGAAAGGAAGGGGTAATTGTGTAGTGGTAAGTGAATAAGCCAAGTGTGTATAAAAATTAATAATTCAGTATGTATCGTCTCTGGTAGGATACATGGTAGCAAGCCCTTGATGTCTAAAGCAATAGAAATACACTTACTAGTCCATAAATAATTTCAAGTTCAGTGAAGAGTCTTCGATGTGTTGAATGACACACAACTTCAGGAATAACAGTGCTCCAATAAAACTAGCTTTTCTTCTCTGAGCAAAGGTACTGTGTTAAATTTTTAAGCCCTGAGTCTACAGAGGTTTAGGTGTGTGCATAACTTTGACTAGTGGCTAGCTTCATTGGCATGATTAACTAATTCATATGTAAATGTTTGTAGGGTTGAGGTTTTAAACTGGATGATATACATTAGCCACTAGGTTAGGAGCCACTAGGAAGGAGTATTGTTGGCTCCCTCAGCCCTCAGTGATTATATAAACTAATATGTACCTGATTTCCGATTTTGTCTGAATGTAGGTTATAGTCCTTTGGAACCTGAAAAACAACCTGCATTTTAATTGTGTATTTTAAATCAAGTTAAGACCTAGAATGTCCCTAGATGCCAACTCTCAGTGCATGGTATCAGAAATACACGATCCTTCAGTACCTCTATAAGAATAATTTTGACTTTGTTATAAATTAATTAAAAGTACTTTGAAGAAAAATTAATTTTCTGTAAATGAAAAGGATAGCCTTATGCTAGTTATGCTTTATATCTAAGGAAATCTTGATTATTTACTTTCTCCTCCAGAATTTCATAAACTGGCAGCTAAACCTTTTTCTATATAGAGTATTAATGCAGAAGAAGGGAGGGGAATTCGAAGCAATGTTATCAGTACGTGATGCTGTCTGTTTTGAGTTGTAGAACTTGCTTTCTGTCTCTTCCATTTTCTTCATGGGGAATCATATTTCAGCTGTTATGAAGGCATATTTTCCTCAGTGTAATATTTGATGCTGCTCTTCTTGGCCATAGGAAGAACATGAAGGTAGGGAGAAAGAACACTCATGTACCAAGGAGATATTCTTTGAGGGTTCTGAGTACTTAGCACCATACTCTTTAAAAATACAAGTCTGTTTTGCTTCCCTTTAAATGCCCATTCATCTTTTTCTAAACATTAATTTAGCAAGCTCTCCAGAAGGCAATGCACAGACATACAGAGTTTAGCGCTAGGATTGTGTAGTTTCTTCTCCAGCTACAGGGGTTCTTCTTTACAACGTAAGAGACTTCATCCTTCTTCTGTACATGAAGGAGTAGTTCAAATGAAGTTTAAAGTCCACACCAAAATCTGTGTTTGTAATTACCTGTTGTACAGGAGCTAGAATTCAAGTTTCCTAACAGCAAGGTTCAGTGTAGTGTGAAAGGCAGAAGAAAGTAAAGGAAGAATGTGGGAGCTTTACAGTGTGATGTTAGTATAGGGGTCTGGCTCTACATATCTAGGATTCAAAGATCAACTTTTGTATTCTGATATTCTAATTCTTTTCTTAGTTTGTGTCTCTGTCTGGTTTGCAGTTTTTGACTTACAGGAAATGTGTGTCATTTGTATACAGCATATTGTATTGAATGATAAAAAAAATAATTAAAAAACCAACTCGATTTCAAAACAATGTTGGTACAATGCAATGCTAGGTTAAACATTCCCATTAAAATTGAAAATTTAGGATGTTGGAGATTTATTAATTCAGCACACTTGGTATTAAGCAATTAGATTTCTTGAATACAAATAGTAGCATATGGGGAAAGGAAAAGAGTAGTACTTACTGAAAGGAATTCTGTCCACATAATCATGTTGGCGATTTAAAGTATCGCAATATTTAGTAGATCAAATCTGTAGCTCCTTTTGCAGTCCTTCCGTGTTGTTTCACCATACCGCTATTGGCAAGAACCTAGCAGAGTTTCACTCTCAGAGCCAATGGTCCAATTTGTCTTTGGTATGTTTTCAACAGACAGGTTCTAAAATGCAAATTACAAAAAGAAACCCCAAACTATGTGACTGAAGTGAATTGATAGAGGCTAGGAACATAACCACATTGAAAACCTGCGGAGAATGCTAATTAGTAATATTCCAGGCAAAACAACTAAGTTCATGTTTTTACGTGAAGTATTTTCTGCCTTAGCTTATTGTGGACTTCTAAAATAGCTTGAGGACATAATATCTCCATGGGTAATGGAGTGCTGTTCTGATTTAGTTTTGCAAAATACTTTGCTCCTTTTGGAGGTAAAATCTATTCTTATTAGGCTTGTTGCACAGCCTTTTCTTAGAGCAGAGCAGAATGGAAATAACAGAATTGTAATCAGGTCCATGTAATCTATTGTTATTATGAATAGCACTGATAAATATTGTGTGTAGTATTCTATTTGCATCACTGGGAAACATTCTTGCTAAAATGGCAGGACATTAAATGACTAAGTCTTGCAAAAAAAGTCTAGCCCTGCTACTTTGCATGAACACTGAGAATAACAGGGAGGTCATGCTTTCCATAGAGAATTACTGAAAGCAGAACTCAATTTTTTCTAAAATACTACAGTACCAATTTTTTATGAAAGATTATTATTTAAGGAGGACCATTATTGTTGCCTTTATTCAAGTTGGATTTTTATCATGCGATTAAATTGTCACTGGCCAGCATGATGACTTTAAGCAAAGGAAAAGAAAGTTGAAGAAAGAAAACCTCCAAGTTAATCAAACTGAAGTCATTTGAGACAACTGAAGCATTTAATTTTAATAACGGAGCTGATTGTGAATGCGCATTAGTTAAACCCTTAGAAATGAGGTAGTAATCTGTGTGTTGATGTATTGGTACAGATCTGAAGGCATACATGTAATTACTGCTGCTGGGCTTGTGTTTTAAGATTACCTCATGATAAATAATATTTTTTAAAAAGAATAAATTTATAAGTGATTTAGAAATTATAAAATAAACTATGCTCATAATTGAGGCTCTCTAATGAAACAAGCAGTGGTTTGCTTGAGCAGTAAATTTGAGACCTTGCCCGAGTTTGTGCTAGAACTGCTCTTTTAGTTATCTCGCACTAGCTAAATTTTGTAGGAGTAAATTTTACTCTTTAACTTTCTGTGTAACCAGATTAATACATGCTTTACAGGATCAGTGTGGCGTGTAAGAACAAAGACCTTGCAAATCAAAATTTCAGGCTTTTTTAACAACTATTCCATCAGTTAAAATGGAAAAAAAAAAGAAATTATGCTTGTAGTTGAGGCTTCCTTAATGGCATTTCTATCACTATTGTCCTTTGATGCATTCAGCTCAACACAATTGTGTGTGTATGTTTTCAATGTAAAAAATCAACCTTATAAGTATTTTCAGT